TATATATATTATATATAATATATAATATATAATATATATAATATATTATATATTATATATTATATATTATATATTTAATATATAATATTTAATAATATTAATATATAATATAGTATATATATATATTTAATAAAGAAAAAATTAAGAACAAATTTTATTTGAAAGAAAAACCACTATCTTTCATTTTGTAGTTGTAGGAAAACCCCGAAGAATTCAAACTTTACATTCTTAATGTTGTAGTTGTGGGTAGATCCTGACGAAACTTTTGAAATTTTCAACATTTTAGGGCTAACCGTGAAAATCGGACCTATGCCACCTTATTACTGTATTTTACTCTATTCTTACCAGAAATCTAAAGAAAAAAATTGGAGCTTTTTTTGAGAAAATTTGAAAATGTCTCAGAGGCTTCATGTACCCCCAAAAACTAATGAATGATTTTCAGAATAGCAGAGCTTCGATTCAGGTTAAATGGTCAGGGGTTACTTCAATTTGGAAAAAACCATATACACCAGACAGATGGATGGACGGTTTAAAGGTAAAAAGATGCAGTCTCTCACAGCCCGCAGTATATTTTTTGAAATGTTCTTAATTTTTCGCCTTCCTAATAGTAGAATCGAATTTTTACTTTAAAAATATTAAAATACAGTAAAACCTCCTCCCAAATGACAATTTTCTTTGAAAATTTGAAGCCGTTTTTAAGAAAACGGCACAAGCACTACTGTAAATGCAAAACTTTAACCTTTATCACGGTAAACTTGAGTTTCCGAAAAAATCATATAAAATCATTTTAAGCACTTCCAGTCACAAATGCAATAGTATTTACAAATCGCTAGATATGTACAAATTAAAGGCGTAAAATAACTTTCCAAAAAATTATATTAGTGTAATTTTTTTAAAAACTTAAAAAAAATCATTACGTCATATTAAAGAAGGCAATTAGCACTATCCTTACGAAGAGTTTTAAAAAAAATTAGCAGCGGCTTTTGAAAAAAGGTATTATCTGTAATTTTTGAAAATACAAAAGAAAAGAACAATATAACGTTTATTACATCTTATCAAGCACATGTAGCACTACTCTTATCACAAGTTAAAAGAAAAAATTTCGAGCTGTTTTTGAGAAAATTTTGTTTTTGTAATTTTTTTTAAAATTGCACAAATTACACGCAATATTGAACGAAAACTACTAAAAGTTTCAGAAAAATGTACG